AGGGCTGTTTGAAATACAGAACAATCCTGTTGTCCATGTAGGTAAGGACACGGTCTGGATTTGAGTGTGTTTGGGCTGGAAACTAAGGGGAAATTTTTAACTATAGGAGGCAGAAGGGTCTTGAAGAGTCTCCATTGCAGGAGCTGTGGATGAAAGAGAGAGTTTCAAGTTTGATCTCAGTCAATTGATGTTGTGGATTTTATCCTTGTATAACAGAGGTAGCTGTGATGACCCTCGAGATCCCTCTCACCTTCAGTCTTTTGTCCCTTGGTGCTGCACCACTGCACCATTTTGGTAAAGGGGCAAATTGTGATAAGCCCATCTTTGGAAAGGAAATTTTTCCTTTAAATAACTTTTGGAAAATGGGAATTTTAAGCCTGAAAGACAAGGGGCCTCATTATATGAGGGTTGAACTTCGATGGAAATCCATCTCTACTTGGAAGTTAAAATTTACCCACTTTTTTTGTTGTTGTTGGTTTCTCCATTTATGCTGTTACTTACACACACCCTGCAGTTGTGGCTCAAGCAGGATTTTTTTTTTCTTAGCCACAGTGATTATGAGATCCATAAAGTTACTAATGTGTGTTATGGCTGACTGAAGGATCACGGAAAACCATTCACCCTCTTTCTTGACACACCACCACCCCCATATCACAGATCCTTTGATCTGCATAATTATGATTGTTGTTTTATTGGTAGCTCTCTAATTATCCGCACGTCAGAACCAGGTGCTTTGCATATGTTATTGAGACTGAGTCATCTTTATTAAAAAATAAAAATTATTTTCTCATAGGGTGTGATTCCTTAGTCATATTTTCCTCATTAGATTGTTGAAATGCACTTTTATTCTCCCCTATGAGAAGTTTATTGCTGATTGGTGTTAGTGCCAGAGGTGTTGATTTTATTTTTCCTTCTCAGCATTGTTGCATCACAACACCCGGCCCAACAATTTCTGACATTTCCCAACGCTGTAATTTCATACTATCACCAGGTGCCTTTTCTCTGTCTCTCTGTTCCTCTTTTCTTTTTGGAATAGGTGGTCTAACCATCCTTACTGCCATAACTTCATCCCAAATATTTCATCTCTAGACTGTTCTGTAACTTGGGGGTCTTTCCTTGTCTCCATGTGCATTTCTGCCCACTGTCCTGTGGACATGGCTCTTGGCCTGAGTTGGCTGTGTCAGTGAGTTTGGACCTGCTGATTTACTTCACAAGCCAAAGAGCCAAGACTGTTCAGGAGCCATTACCTTTCACCATGACAGAAGCAGGTCAGACATGTTTTGCTGTAAAAGGTGTTGAGGCTCCTCAGCCATTCAAAGGCACTGTAAGAGCTTTGAAATCACATTTTCCCCTGGCAGACCTTTTGCTCATAGTGCACCCCATGGACCTCTGCAAGTCAGAAGTTTGTTTGAAGTAGGGATGCTGTGAATCCTTTCCAGTGCTGTTTACTCACTGGTGAAGTTGGATGCTCCAGATTGGCAGAAGAACCAAAAGCAGCCTGTGGTTTCCACAAAGGCTGTGGTGCCATTACTGGATGCATGTCTTCAGTCACACTAGAGGAAGAGGACAATCCTAGATACAATTACTGGTAATTAATTGCTTTACAGTAAATGAGTCAAATGTGGTCTTGGTAAGAAGAGTGCTACTCCCAAGAGTTTCATCAGGAACTCCATTTGTGCATTCCTCATCCATTATCCTGCAGCATCACTCAACCTGTGCATTTGTTCAGTTCATTCAGAGCTGTAGGATTTCCACAACCCCTCATTCTGGGCTCATCTTCCTCTTATGTCACTCCATGGGGTGGGCTCATAAACTTGCTTATGTATAGACCTACAGAAAATCCTATTAAGTGTGAGCCATTTTAATTCCATAGCTGATCTAAATCATTACTCATAATCCTTCCTACCACTGAAAAAGGACAAATTTAGTGATACTTCCCAAGGGAAATTAAGCTCATCCAGCAGAGGGATCCTTTCCTATTCTCTTCCCCTCTAGCTGCATCCATTCACTCCTGTTATCAATGATGGCAACTAATTGAATTCTAAATTCCTCCCTACCAAAGCCTTTTTTTCCTATCCTGTAGATATTTTCAGAACACTAAACAAGTGTTAAGAACATGGATGAGTGAAGTGAGCACTGGGAGCAGGCAGTGGTGTCAGGATACCTGATCACAGAAATAGCACAAGTTTTCTGGAGCACCTGCCAGCCTTAGGTGGAGGCTGTGGGTCTTGCTGTGCCTGTGGCACACCTGTGGTGTGTGTTGTCCCCAGGACAGGCCTTGGCCCGTCCCTGGGTGGGGGTTAATGACCTGTGGACCAGCAGGAATGTGTGGAGGGCATTGTGCTGTCAGCAGCAGGACTCCACAGTGAGCTGATCCTGAGGACTCTCCCCAGTGCCACACACTGCACCAAGACCTCACACTCCCAAACCGGCTCAGAAATGGGGACAGACACTGCAGCTCTGGAGTTCCCAGGAGCTCTCTGAGTGAGGACTGTATTTTTTATCATTTCAGTGCTTCTCTGTGCTTCTGGAACATCAGAAGGAAGCAAATAACCTTTTAGTTATTTAGTTATAGACATTCTCTGTAGTTTAAGGTTCCATAATCCAGCTTTAAAAGATGTTTCCTTCAGCTGCTTTGGCTACAGTAAACACAGCTGAGACCTGAGTGAGCTCTGGCAGCCTCTAGAGACAAAAGTCATGTTTGCACTTGCTTTACATCACTTTCTATACAGTTAAAACCTGAAACGAGCTTTTTATTCATTGTAGACAGGCTTTTATTCACAGAAATTCCTGATGCTGGACTGATAAGTCAGTTTTTCAATAGAAGTAGAAAGTGTGTTCTTTCTGGACAAACTGCAGGCTGCTGGCACAGTCAAGGCATGTGGTTACTGAGAGAAGACCTAAACAAAATCAAACTCTTCTAAGTTGGTTGTGATGAGAAAATGTTTAATTGCATTACCCTAACAGATAAATCCTTCAGTCTGAAATGAAATGGGAAATACGAGAAACCAGGTTTAATCAGTGGGGAAGGGAGGAACAGACATCTGTAAGTGATACATGGTTGATTTTGTGTATCTGGTGCACAACAGTCAGAGACTGAAAGGGGCTTCACTGTGATCTTCAGAAAGAAAAATACATCTGAAGGAGCTGTCCTAATTTATTATTCCTGTCTCATCTCTAATTTTGTTGCATATTTTATGTTCTTCAGCAGTAAAATATAGAAAATACCTTCAGTGAAAGGAATGTGTATCTGATTTCTGTTAAGGCAGAGTATTAGCCAGCTGTGTGTACTAACAGAAATTGGATTCTTGGTATTATATCAGTATTTAAATTGAAATTTCTATCATAAAACACTGGAATGTTTTTTTGGTGCATGACACTGAAGGGAACAGATCCATTGTCTTGCTGTCTGTTTCTCCCAACAGAAGTCAGCAATACGTCATTCTCTGTGCAACAGAAGTGTAGAAATACTTGTGAGGAAGCCCCTTCATACTGGAAGAACCTCACCTGAGTCACACCTTCCTTCCCACAGTACTCTGTGATGAGATAAATGGACTCAGATAACTCACAGTAGTACCTTTGCCACAGTTTAGTAAATTAACAGTTAATCTCCTGATAGTTGCCCATCATTTGTGTTTTCCTTCTCCTTTCACTCACATAATTAATTCTCTTTAGTTCAAGTGGCTAGGCAAGGGGCCAGAAAGCAATCCCTTAGTGACCATTAAGAAACAAATGGTAAATGGTTTTTAACATCTCAGGAAGGAGAAAAATTGTGTCAAGAACTGACAACAATATTTCTATTTTCAACCTTATACCTCTTGCTTGTGAAGAGAGAGTTCTGCCAGCCTCACCCGGCAGTTCCCCTCAGCAGAGGCTGGCTGTTGTCTCACCTCACACAGCCATGGTCACAATTCCTGATATTTCCTTCCACTCAGTGGTTCTATCCCAGCACTGTGTCCATTTTCCTAGTGCAGAATGGACTGATGTGAGCTCATGTACCCAGTGCAACTCCACAGCCCGTATTTAGTGGATGATCTGGATAAGCACCCGCACGAGGTTGGTTGAATTTAATTTCTCAGACATGTTGTGATTTGAATTGCAGACATAAAGGTTTATTAGAGCAGAGTTACCAGCAGAGTGTGAGCCCTTTAACAAAGAATGAGTTGCCAAAGACAAGTTGAGTAAGCCAAGCATTGCAGGGTGGAGGAGGGGGTGCTGGGGCAGGTGGCCAGGCTCGTCTTCCAAACCCTTCCGCTGCCTCGGCCGTGCTGCAGAAGCTCTCGGGTGTCTCTCGCTGCCCATGGTCGGTGCGTCGCAGCTGGACGGTGCCAGGGTCCCTCCTGCTGCTCTAGCACACTCTTGACTGCCCTGTGTGAGCACAGAGCAAATCACTGCCTTGAGGGGAAGTCTGAGCATTCCTGCTGAGTGGAATTCTTACACCTGACAGTGTTAGAGCAGAGGAGCAGAGGCTCCATGCCCAGCAGCACCCTGGGTGCTTTCTCAGAACTGTATTTTTTTATTATTCCAAGAAGCAAAGAAGTATTTCCCATCCCATAAAGTTTATAAACTGTATTTTATATTTAGGCAGAGGGAATCGCAGCACTTGCTGTATTTTAACCCCTGATTCTGCTGCAACAGAGTAATGAGGTTTCTCACTCCCAGGCTAATGGACCTCAGAATATTTCCCAGCACAAACTACAAACCTTTTTTCTGACCAAATACATTGCAACCATTGGGGCAGATGTAACCCACTAATAATAACATGCTTACAAAGTGTTGACTTACCTGACATTTCTCCACACTGGGAATGAGAGTAGGAAGCAGAATATGACTGGGAGGATTTTCCACCCCCTTGGAAAGCTCCTTGGGAGGTACTGTAAAAAAAACAAAACAACAGACAATTCATCAAAAGCTACTAACATTAGATATTCAGTTGAAAGATATATTGATGTAGCTTCAGGGACTAAAAGCCTCTTGGTAAATAAGTACATGATTTCTTTTTACTCCCTTGCTATGATATGAAATACCAGAGCAATCAGCTCATCCTTCAAGGACTCCAGCTCAGATTCCAGTGAAGATCTAACCAGAGTCAGGTCATCCATGAGATTTCTCAGGCCATTGATGTCAGCCTCCACGGTCTGACGGATGACCAGCTCATTCTCATACCTGTGTCACACACACAGAGACAGAGAAATGGGGGAATGAGATGCTGCAGTCAATAGCACACATCCTTCTAAGATCAGTATTCCAGTAAAACGGGATGACTCAGTAATACCACCAGGGCAGTCCTCCCTTGCCTTCCTAGATGGTGATGAGAGGGATTTTACAGACAGGCAAGGTTCACAGGGAGCTACTCACTTCATTCTGAAGTCATCGGCAGTCATCTTGCTGTTATCGATGTCAAGAAGCATTCTGTTATTGTCCACAGTGGCAGATATAATCTGCAAAAGGGGAAAGTGGAGAGGAGTCTTTCTGTGTTCTAGATTTTCAAGACAGGCAAAAAGAAGGCTCTAAGCTTTGGTAGGGTGTTACTGGGGGTCTTAGAATTGTTACTTGCAGTAGTGCAGGGGCCATATGGAAGGGTAACGATCCAGATTTACTTTTCAGGGAAGCTTCTGCTATCACAGACCATCCTGCCAAATCCATGCTCTTCCTTTTCTCAAGATAGAGACAGCTCTCATGAGTCCCATAGAGTGTTTGCAGCCCTTTCTATATAAAGTGCTTCTTCACAGTGTCTGTTTAATCTGTTTTTTTGGTACTGTGTGACCTGATTGTAATGGAAGACCTCAGTCGTTCTACCTGGTGTCTGTAGGAGTGTGAAGGGGAAAAGGGAGCTCCAAGCCTACTTTGGCTTTGCACTCCATCCAGCTGATCTGGCTGGGAGCAGAGGGAAGCTCTGCAAACCACACATGGCTGGTTTGGAGCCACCTGCACAACGTGGGATGCACGGTGCGTGAGCCAGCGTGTCTGTGGCTGCTGGAGCTGCTGGTGCCTGGGGCTGTGCCCTGCTGCCCGTGGGCTGCTGTGAGGGTTTGCTCAGCCAGGGGATGGGAGGTGCAGCTCAGCAGGTTGTGATACCACCAGCACAGCCATGCCACCTGTGGTGGTAGAGCCCAGTGCTGGGGACAGAGGGAGGAGGAAGAAGCAAAGAGGAAGGAGGAAGGCCTTAGAGGAGAGAGGAGCATGTGGGAGATGGGAGATGGAGCCACGTGTGCCGGGATGATCGTACCTGACTTTGGAGTTGTTCAATGGTCTGGTAGTAGGAGCTGTAGTCCTTGGAGACGCTGGGAGCTTGTTTCCTGTACCACTCGCGGATGTGGTGCTCAAGCTGAGCGTTCTCTTCCTCCAGCATTCGCACCTTGTCCAGGTAAGAGGCCAGGCGGTCGTTGAGGTTCTGCATGGTGAGCTTCTCATTGCCGCTGAGCAGCAGGTCCCCCCCGGGGCCGCAGCTCCCCGCAAAGCCCCCGCCAAAGCCCCCGGCCAGGCCGCCCATGCTCAGGCCGCCCCCGTAGCCCCCGCAGGCTGCCCCGCCGTAGCTGCCCCCGCCGATGACGGAGGAGGCGTAGCGCCGGCAGGACATGGAGGAGCTGCGGCCGCTGCTGCCGCCGCAGGCGCCTCCACCTCCTCCTCCGCTCCTGTACGAGGTGCTGGATGTTCTCTTGATGCTGCAGCTCATGGTGAAGGGATCAGAGACTCAGCCCCAGATGCAAAGCTCTGCACAGCGAGATAGAGGAAATCAAAGTGCAGCGGGCTGTCCTTGCTGGTGGCTATTTATACCTGCCCAGGTGGGTGTCACCTGCCAGGCAGTCCAGCTTCCCATGGGGTTTGCCAGCCACAGTGCTCATGCCAAAAATGATGTGCTAAGGGGAATTTTGTCTGAGGTAAGTAAAAGGCATTACCATTCAGTGCAAATATGTCTCAGTTGATTCATACCTAGCTGCACTATAATTTTATGTGGGTGGCTCCTTGTTGGATACTTTGTTGAACAATGTCGTATGTCTGAGTTTCTGTTAATCTGGCAATATCGCGCTGGTAACGGCAGCTAATGAAGCTTCTGCTTCATTGTCTGTGTCCATAATTCTTTATGCTTTGAAACTCAGTAGCTCAGCTTCAGTCTTCCACCTGAGATCACAGACATGATTCGTAATACCAGCTGGCTCCAAGGGACTCTTCATTCGTTGATTGATTTCAAATTACATCAGCTTTATACAGATCTACTTTTATGCACTGAAAATAAAATTTTGAAGACTGCATTCCCATCTTTGTTACAGAAGAAGACTTGACTTCGAATTTTTCACTCTGTGTTGAATAAAGTCCTGCTGGCATTCAGCTTTCTCTGAACATCCAGCATGTGGATCACAGTCTTTTTTCTTTTTGAAGAAAACTCTGTGTAACAGCCACGAAATAACTGTGCAAGGGAAAAAATATTGAATACTTTCTATCAAAGAGCTTCTAATTTTATTGTAACGGTTTTAAATGGACTCAGAGGAAATTGAGAGGAGAAGTATTTTACTTTGCATATTTTTATCACTGTATTTAAATAGTAATTTCTCAGAATACATCCTTGAATTATATAATAAAAATGAAAAAAATAAGTTTGATTAAAACGGCCAAAGATTAGATCTGAAAAAACATCATCATTACCTGAGCTCATTACAGTGAAGAGTGTTTTGCAACCACGACAGAATACCTTGCACCACCCAACAGAGAGTCAGAAATACTTGTGTATTTTTTTCCACTGCCCCTGCAATAGGGAACGGCAGTGAGCTGCTTTTCCCATCTTTACTAATCAACGTCCTGTGAAACTGAGAAAAGCCTCAAACAGAAATGAATTTTTGGATTTCTAGCTGTGCATTAAATATCAGCATTGCAGCTCCTACGGAAGAGTCACCGGGCTGTGCAGAGGAAGCACAAGGAGCTGGTGGGACCTGCTGTGAATTGCCACCTCAAAATCAGCTTATCCACAGAGAGGGAGGATGGATTCAACCTAGAGGTGTTTCAGGAAGAGGTTCCATATACAGAAGAAGAAATAAGCCTGCTCCTCTCTCTGGCTGCAGTTGTGCAGGTTTGTTCTCCCTTGGTAGCTCTGTTACCCTGAGGGCCCCTGCCCTGGTGGCAGCAGGGCTGTCCTGGGCTGGCACTGCCTCCATCGGACACAGGGGAGCTTCTGGCAGCTTCTCACCAGATTTCTTCTCAGAAACCCCCCTGTATCCCCTGCTACCCAAACATTGCCACATAAACCCAATACTGTGCCTTGTGGATGTAAAATGATCTTGGAAATCCTTCTGTCCCTCCACCTGGGTCTCTCAGTAGTTGCTGTCTTCATTCTGTTTTAACCCCTTCTGGACTTCACTGTCTGCTGTGTAGCACTTAGTGCCTCCTGGGCAGCAAAGTAATGAGGAGTGAGGGAAATAAATACTCTTCCAAGGTTAGTTTAAAGCATGGACTGTTTGGGCCAGTTTCCTAAAAAGATTGTGATCTGCCCCTACTGCTCAGAAATTGTGTTTTAACTCTAAATTTTGTTATCAGCTACTGGAGTGTATCATCAACCTCTCTACCTGGAGGTGTATCTTGGCATGACATCAGTGGAGGTCCCTGTCCCTGTCCCTGCACCTGCAGGAGTGACAGTGCAATTCCCTCCCTTAGAGGGCTCTGGAATACACACAATTCTTAATACTCAGACCATCTATCATGAAGACCATAGCTCTTTCTGGATGCTGTGTGTAGTTCAAGTTTCTAAACCAAAGAAAGAGAAATTAGCATTACTAGAATCTCACTGTTCCTGTTGTGTGTACTTGGCAGCATTTATGCAGCACAAACTCTGTTTAACAAGCCTGAAAAGGCTCGTTCCTGCCAGCAAAATGCCAGCACACTTTGGCTTGGTGTAAGTCAAGTGTTTCTGTTTCTCTGAATGGTTTCCAAGTGCTGAGATGGCAGTGTGATGTGTATTTCTGGAAATCAGTTTTGTATCTGTTCTCTCAATCCATACTTACATGCATCTGTTGTGTTACTCAGCAGTGCTGCTGCTCTTCTGTGGAACTCACATTTTGTTTCACTCTCAACTCAACTGCAGAGGCCCCTCCCTTTTATGCAGCCCTGCACCTGCAGCTCAGCCTGCAAGGTTCTGTGCAGGTGAGATGTCCCCTCCCCTTGGGCAGCCTCACTGGAATTTTGGCCCCTCACTTGCTGGGGTACAATGGTAGCTATATACAGAAGTGAACATTCCAGGCCCTTTTACATGTACTGAATTCCTCAGAGGTCGAAGGCAATTGCTGTCAATATCAACATTTTATGGAAATGAGCTTTGTAAATTTCCTATAAATTATATTTCCCTTTCACTTCTTATAATTTCAAAACAAGATCCCTTATCTGTGCATTTCCAGGTTAAACCAAGGAGTACCCATCAAGGTTTTGTGAATTGAAACATTGGTTTCATTTTACAACCACAGCTCTGTAATCATTAATGTTCCTTTGTGGACACTCACGTGCTGCCACCACCATTAGAGTCATTCAGCACTGAGGTTCTGCAGTCCCTTTAAGGTTGATATTCCTCTGCTGGGTCTCAGAACTTAGCTCCCAGGAATATCTGACACATTTTTAAAAAAACAAAGGCACAGCCCAAAGAGATTCTGATCTGCCCCTACTGCTCAGAAATTGTGTTTTAACTCTAAATTTTGTTATCCACTACTGGAGTGTATCATCAGCCTCTCTACCTGGAGGTGTGTCTTGGCATGACTTTGTGTTTCCTAAGTGTTTACACCTACAAAAGGAAAGAAAAACCCCATACAGGATTCTGGTTGCATCAGACAGAAATGAATTTTATTAGAGACATTTTCCTGATTCAGAGCAACCTGAGTACCAAACAGGTTGGAGCTGTAAAGCAGCAGTTTAAGTGCCAATGACCAAAGCTGCAGAGCTTTGTGGGCAGAAGCAGCACAGAGCATGCAGGGCAGGGGGAGAGGTGGCATCTGCACCTCCCAGGAACTGTTCAGAGCATCAACTTTCCTTGGGAGTGGGGGGAATGCAGCGGATTTGGGCCAGTTTCTTTTTGAAAGGTCTTGCACTGGAGGATCCTTGATGTAAATTCTTAGTCAAAAGATTTTCTTCCGTATCCTGTTTGGAGAAAAAACAAGCACAAACTTCATCAATCCTGGCACTGAATGTCCAAGATACCAGCATCCCCCAGACATTAGGATTGTGTGGGAGTGGCCATAAGCATTCCAAAAGCAAAAAGGAAAACTCCAGCATGGCTCAAAGGCTGCAGGATTTATGAGATTCTGCAAAGAATGAGACAGATGGAAAAAACCAGCTGAGGTTAAACTACAAGATCAGCTGATATCACCTGCAAAATGGAATAGAAATGCATTCTGTATGCTCTGGAAGTGGAGTTGATCCTTTGCACACAAAGAGGAAAGAATTGTTAGTAATGGTAAATCTAATACTTCCCAGAAATTTTAGTTTATCCTCAGTACTGTTTAGTTTATCCTCAGTACTCAGTAACCTCTGGAAGAATATGTTGGTATAAATTAGTGAATAAGTTAGTCAGGATGTGACTGAGGGAACACTATGCCCATACCAGAATTCTCACCTTGGCTTTCGCCACCACTCCTGCAGGCCTGGGACTGGGAAGATGAAGAGTAGGAGTGGGAACTGCTGATGCCTCCTGAGGTTCTTCCTCCTCCTCCTCCTCCAATGCATCCACCACCGCTTCCTCCTCCCATTCCTCCACTTCCCCCTCCCATTCCTCCACTTCCTCCTCCTATTCCTCCTCCACAGCTTCCTCCTCCCATTCCACTGCCACCACCTCCATAGCCACCACTCATGCCACCACCTCCTCCTCTTCCTCCTCCAGAATAGCCACCACCTCCAATTCTACCACCTCCCATGCCTCCTCCCATGCCTCCTCCCATTCCTCCTGCTGGGATTCTGCAAAGAGAAAGAAAGAAGGGGAAAAAATGTTAATCAATAGTACTTTGCCATTCAAAAGCCACTGAGCTACAGCTGCTGCCCAGGAGCCAGCACCTCTCTGGGCTGTTCCTGGTTAGAACCCAGCACTGCACAGCAAAACAACTGAGGCAGTGCCAAAAATTATCCCCTCTTTCAACTTCAACTTGAATGCAAGAGCTTTTGCTTTTCCCACATTCTGCCTAGGGATTCCTTGCAATATTTAGCACATACGTCAGTGTATGGCTCAAAATCAGAATGAAGAGACTGAAACTTTAGCTGCTGTTTCAGGCACCATTTCCAAGAATAAGCTGGCACACTGCATAAGTGAGGCTGAAGTAGGCTGAACTTTCAGAAACTTTTATAAAGGTTTAGAAAACTTCTGTTGGTTTTTTTTTTTTTTTTTTTTTTTTTTTTTCCTTTTTGCATATGGTCTTTTCCTGCCTTTCCTGTTCCTGGCTTTCCTGGAACTCTCTTACATGGATTTCCTTGTCCAGCCCCAAACTGGTAGTTCAGAATTTCTGCATTAATTTTTCTTCACTTGAATTACATTCTGAACAGAATGAAATTTTCACACCTGGGAGGCCATTGGCCAAGACAGCTGCATCAGCCTCATTTCAGTACAAAACCTGCTTTGCAAATCTCCACTGTTACATTTCCTGCCTGAGCAGCAGCTGGGGTCACACAGTGCTGTGCTCTGTCAGTACGTACACAAGGTCCTGCTGTCCCTCCTCCAGGAGTGCCCGGTACTGCTGGATCTCCTGTTCCAGGCGGGTTTTTATGCCCAGGAGCATCTTGTACTCCTCGTTCTGGCTCTCCATCTCACAGCGGATGCTGGCCAGCTCCTCCTCCAAGGGCCCGATCATGCCCTGGATCTGCTGCAGCTGCATGTTGTAACGGCGTTCCGTGTCTTCCAGGTTGGATTTCTGAGAGTCAATCTGCAAAGGGAAAACAAAATGCAGTGTTTATGAGAATGTGGTGGTTTTGATTTATTTTTGTGGGAAAACCAGGAGATCTTCACAAATCCTCAGAAAAAAGTGTATAATTGAAGGTAAGCAATCCAATATCCCATTCTCCTTGGATGGATTACTTGCTGGCTGTAGCTCTTCTTCTCACATACAGACTGTGTCATGGGTGAAGCAAATGCCTTTCCTTACCATGCTGATCTGCGACTGCAGCTCAATTTCCAGACTCTGATATTCACGCCTCAGCTCAGAGATCTGCTGGTTGCTTGATTGTATCTCCTGGCCACTGGAGTGGACTTGTTGATTAACTTCTTCCATCTGAAAAATTAACATCCAAAATTGAGGCATTTTTTATAATTAGAGAAAATTGTGGGGTTATCATAAAAGCATCAGGAAATCAATTAATAATAATAAAGATTCCATGCAGACTGTTTATTTCCCTCAAACCCTCTGCCAATACCCTGGTAATTCACTGGCTGCTGGAACACAGAGGCTCTACTTGTTTCACCACAAAACTGATATTCCAGGACTGACCTGTTGTAAGAAACTACCTAAAGCAATATAAAGTTATTGTCCCTTAAATAACACATGATAAATTGCCTTTCACCAGATGTAAATAGGTCCAGTACTTTGTGAAGGATTTAATTACCAAAGCCTGCCTGTGCTTTACCTTGGTTTCATACCAGCTTTCCACCTCCTTCCGGTTGTTCTCAATGAGCCTCTCGTACTCGCCGCGCATTTCATTCAATTTTTCCATTAAGTTAATGCCAGGAGTAGCATTGACCTCCACATTGACATCTCCACCAGACTGGCCTTGCAGTCCTCTCATTTCCTGAAAAAAATCACAAAAACCCCATGAGGTTCTCCAAGGGTGAAGGTAAGGAGGAATGGCATCAGTTCAAATAAAGGGAAGGAAAAGGACATGGATCTTCACACAGCTCCTGACTCCAGCAAAAGGGCCTTGCCTGCCCTTGCTATGGAACAATTCTGATATTCCCAAGGCTCCATTGCTCATAGTCAGGCACTGCACAGTGACCCTGGCACTGCCTCCACAAGGCTGCAAGGAATTCTATGCAGTGTACTCTTTGTGGGAATCTTTTCTTCTCAGTGGGAAATTCACTGAAGAGAGTAAATATGTTTTCTTTTTACTCCTCCTAGAAGTGTACTCTTTGTGGGAATCTTTTCTTCTCAGTGGGAAATCTCACTGAAGAGAGTAAAAATGCTTTCTTTTGACTCCTCCTAGATCCTCTATCCAATTTTCCTTCCATGGGTTCAGCAAGCAAACTGTAGTTTATACTGAAAGCCATTCATCCCCCTGGTTTCACGTGTTCCTGGTGTCTCATGACACCAGCTGTGGGCAGCTATGGCCTCTGCACACTCCTCAACATCTAAGTGGGCTTGTGGCAAGTTGGATGATCAAAACCAGCGGCCAAAACCTGGTTGCTGTTGGTGGAAAAAGCAAGGGGAAATTATTTGAGTTCTCTTTAGTTATTGAAGTGTGAAGAAACTTACCTCTTCATGGTTCTTCTTCAGGAAGATCAGTTCCTCTTTCAGGGACTCAAACTGTGTCTCCAAGTCAGATCTGGACAGAGTCAGTTGATCCAAAAGTGGGCGTAATCCATTGATATCACTTGCCACACTCTGGTGGAGAGTATATTCAGTCTCATACCTAAATGACAGACAAGAAAGAGAGTAAAAGTGCTGCCAGACCTCTTTGTTTGGTATCTCAGTTCCCATTTACATCTCTGGTCAATTCTTAGAAGAAAGGACTCTTTCTATCTCCAATAGCTGTGTTTGATTTCAGTACAGTTTCTCTCTGTGAGATTTATAGCATGAGGATTATGCTTATAAATCTACATGCAAGGATGAAGAAACTTAGAGTGGAGTGCCTTAAATGCGTCTCTTCAAGAACTTGTCTGGAGAGAAATAATAATGAGAACCCAAAGCAATCCTTCTCAAAATGCTTTTCCCCACAATTCTGTGATTGTAGCCCAAAGTCTCCAGCTTCGACAAAGATTAATTGGCAATGGAAACTCGTGGGGATAAAGGGAGGCAAAGTGGATGGAACCAGGAAGGGAGTGACTCACTTCAGTCTGAAGTCATCCACAGTCATTCTGGTGTTGTCCATGTCAAGAAGCATCCTGTTGAGGTCCACATTGGCACCAACAATCTGAAGGGGAGAGGGCAGGTGTTATTTAGTCAGTTGTCTTTTCAGTCTGATGACAGAGACAAGAAACACCTGTGCACAAACACCTTGCAGAAGGGGTTTATGGCAATGTCAAGCATTCAAGCCTGACTAGAGCTGCAGGAGCTATTGAGAGAGATGAGTTTATTGCTTCCAGGTAAAAGAAGGTGCCTTTACTGTTAAATATCCAATAAAAATACCTTGTTGGAAAGAGTAACTAAATTAACTCCTCATATTCAATAAAGAAAAACCAGACAAACAAAAAACTCCAACCCAACCAACAAAAAACCGTGGGAAAGCAGAATCTCCATTACTTTTGAGAACAGCCATGTTCACACAAGAGATACATGACTGTTAAATGTCTGAGGGCTGGAATGAGACTAACTGCACATGCTGGCTCATCCTGTATATTCACAAAAACATCCAATTAATATGGCAATAATAGCACAACACCAGCAAGGATGAAGCCTGCAGTTCAAGACTGAAGAACGAGTGAGCAGCAGCAGCCCAGCATTGAAGGGAGCATGGCACGGGCCATGTGATGGGGCACTGGTGCTGATCTGCCTCTGCACCCAGCAATGCTTCCTGCACCAAATACACGTGTGGACAGCAGCTGGTCCCCACACCACTCTGCTTCCTGGCCAAAGCCCAGGAAGGGGAATATCACCCCAAACAGGGTCCTTGTGCTGCATGAGGAAAGCGCCATTCCAATAGGAACCTGTTCCCATTTAGTCAAAGTACATCATACCTGGTTTTGCAGCTCTTCAATTGTCCTGTAATATTGGCTGTAATCCTTGTTCTGAGAGGGAGCTTGACTTTTGTACCACTCCCTGATCAGCTGCTCAAGTTGGGAATTTTCCTCCTCCAAGCGTCGCACTTTATCCATGTACGACGCCAGGCGATCGTTGAGGTTCTGCATGGTCAGCTTCTCGTTTGTGGAGAGCAAGCCAGAATCCTCCCCAAAGCCCATGCCACCAAAACTGCCTCCTCCATAGCTGCCACCACCACCAAAGCCACCACTACCCCCAAAGCCACTAAATCCACCTCCTCCATAACCACCTCCCATGCCCCCAAATCCACCCCCTCCTGATCCAAGTCCTCCTCCCATACTTCCACAGCTCATTCCTCCTCCATAACTGCCACCACTCATTCTGCCCCCATAGCTGCTGCGGCTGATCCTGCCACAGCTGCCACTGCTAAAGCCTCCCCCATAGCTGGTCCTGGAGCCTCCTCCACCAAAGCTTCTCCCAGAAAAGCCCCCGCTGCCTCCAGAAGAGGTGTATTTTCTTGAGGACACTGAGGAGTATCCACCAGACCTACCCCCTCCACCACCTCCACCACTGCATCTTCCACCACCACCACCTCCTCCTCCTCCTCCACTACTAATTCTAATGGTACTGGTCGAAGATTTGGTGCCACAGCTCATGGTAACAGCAGGCAAGAGACAAACCGCAACCCCAAATTTAGCTGCACAGCCTGATAAGCTTCAGGACTGCAAATGTTCATCCCCAGCCCTCTCTATTTATACATTTGACACTGGGTGTCACCATCAGGGTGTTTCCTTCTCCCAGGGCATTTACCAAACTTCTTGTTTGTGCCAAGAATAATTTGCTGAACAGTATTTTTGTGCAGCTATCTCGGGCAATCCAGCCCACATCTGGGCTTCTGAGGCTTGGATGAATTTGAACATCTCACTTCTTTTGGGTGACATATTCTTTTCATTGAGTGGTTTCTGGAATAGGTACTTCCTCTGCTAAGGTTTTGTAGCTGCTATTGCTAAAGATTGTTTTGTTCATTGTTTGTTCTCTTTTGTTCTTTCCAACTTTGTGCATTTCAGATTTTCTACACAGCTTATGTTCCGTTTCTCACCATCCGTGCTAGGGCAAGGGTTTTATTAATAGGATTGTGTGACTTGTCTGTGAAGACTGAACTCCTGTATTCCTGCCAGCACTTAGAGAACATCTTATTTAATATGAGCAGGCTATTTCAAACAATGCAGAGGGATTCTTGTTTAAAAATTAAAATCCCTCCTTTGTGAAGAAAGCGCTAAGGCAGCTCACAACCAGCTAAGTCCTAGAATTCAAAAAGAAAAATAATACTGAACTCTTTTCATCAAAGCACTGTTGATCTAAAATAGAATGAAGATCAAGGATGTGTTAATTGTATTATAAAGTCAATTGTATCCCAATTAGAAGTTGTTTTATTTCAGACAATGATTTAAAAACTAGTGTGTGGGAAGATTTTTTATCATTAATATAAAGCAGCTCACTCTCTCTATTGTTAATGTGTCAAATATTGTAGGTGATAAAGTAATTATATCTACTGTTCTTAAAGCAAAGATCCTTGAGATTAAAATAGCATCCCAAGAGAAAAGCTGAAAGACTTTTTATACAAATCAGTAAAAATCAGACTGTTGAGACCACAAAAGAAATTACCCCACACTTCCGTGTTGCCCTGATCCCCAGAAGCTGACCCTGGGTGGAAGGGTTTCCATCCTCACTAGGTAGGTTGGATGCCAAAGCCAAGTGTCTGAAGGCAGATGTGCAAATTACAGCACAACCCCAGCATTTGTGTCTTGCTATAGATGGACCCACAGTGTCCCCATTTTGCCCAGAAGAACGTGCACAGTTTCCCAGTGACAGTTCTGTTTTTTCTGAAATGTCTTCATCTCCTGCCCTCCTCTCTGTGGGGTTATGGAGCCTTTAATGACTGTAGGGAGTTATGAAATGTAGCAATCTCCCCTAAACCTCAGGTGCAGGAGCAGAGGGCTCCTCCAAGGAACTGCCATTTGTGCTCTGCTCTCCTTCTCCCAGCCAGGACCTCTTGCAGATGACAATGCAGCACATTGATTTCCAAAGGCTGCCTTGGTGGGATGTTGATTGTAAATTCAGGATTATTTAACATTTCCTGACCACATCCTTTGTGCTGCCATGTGTGCACCAGCATTGCTCTATTGCTGCTTATGCAATTGCTTTCAAAACCTCCTGATTTTATCTTGCAATTTGATCTCTCAATGGCTGAAAGATGATGAAAGATTCCGAGCACTTTGGTGATGGAATAATTTCTCCTGATTCTCAGCTGTAGGCTGGTAGTGACACCTCAGCAGCATAAACAGTTTCTGGGCTTTAGCACAGTCTGTTATTGGTGCAGAAAGAGGGAGTTTGCTACAGGCAAAATGGTTTTTCTTTTTTTGTGCTGTTTTGCCTCTGGGTCTGGGTAATGCTGCTTTGCTCAGTGGGACCCTTTGTCACAAACTCTGCTGTGGTGAGTAAAATTGATTATCATTTTCAAATTCCCATCAGTGATTCCAGGGATATTCCTTAGACATGCTTTTCACAGCCAAGATAGAAGAGCTGTGTGTTTGTTAGTGATAGTAAATACAAAATTCCCTGGAATTATTAAAGAAAGAGTAAAAAAATTGCCAAAATAATATTTTAATCCTTCTGACAATCCACATTATTTCCTATTTTATTTACTGGTGTCTTTTTCCATATGTAACTATTCACAGCAGGGATTTGTACATATGGAAGAGTTCTTCTGATAAGGGCAAGTTTTATTTCAGGCTTGGAAAATACTTTAAAAAATAACAACAATGAAAGGAAATAAAGGTTCAAACCACTAAGGGTGGACAACTTTTACTCACCTTGACATTTCATTTTAGCTTTGTGTAGTTACCACTCTTTGTATATAAAGGAGGATCACAAATCACAGAATTTGCCTGTAGATCTAAGGTAACTTTTAAGTCACATGCTCATAGGGTGCTCTTGTTTTGTCTTTAGCATTGCTGCTATTTCATTTGTGGTAGTAGTTCCACCTTGATGTGGAACACCTTGGTTTACAGGAACCCTGCTGGCCATGAGGCTGGGCCATATCCCTGTGTATTCCTGGAGCTGAGGACTGCCCTTGGGATGTTTGGTTTCTGTCACAGTCACTGTGTGTCTCTCTGGAGCAGGACACTGAAGTGCCTGAAAAATGCAGGTGAACTATGAATCCTTCATCCTCCTGTAGAGTTGCACACACTGAATTCCCTCCTGGCTGATTTTTAAACATTTTTTGATTATTAAATATTTGACTGTGCAAATACTTGTAAAGCAGAGATCTGTTCTGTGGACAGAACGAATCTTTCATTTCTGAGCTCATCAGAAGTGCCTTTAAAGATTTTGTTCTCTGATGCTTTTCACTAATATATTATATAGATGGTGTAAATTTACAGAATTACCTAAAAAGGAACCATCAGGTTTAGGACCATCTCTCATCTGTTTCCCATATGTGATGCACAGTTGAACCATTAATGTTTCTGTGTCGATGCAGCATCCATACCTTATATAACATTGCTGTTTCCCAATGGGAGCAGAGGAAGGACCTTTGTTACTCCAGTCACCAGCAGTGCCTGGCCTGCAGAGTGCTGGAATGTTCCAGTGTGCTGCCTCTGCTCGGGCTCAGCCCAGCCATGTTCCTTCACTCTCACTCTGTTATTGCTCTCCTTTTAATCAGGCCGCTGTGATCCTTATCAAAGTGACTTCCAGCCATCAGAGTGGTGGCAAACCCTGGCAGCAGCCCACGCTGCAGAGCTGGGAGACTTCTCCTACAGGCTGGAGCTGCTGCATTCCAAACAGACCTGGAGAAAATGTGTTCTCCCTTTTGTGCTTGTGTGCTGAAAAATTGAAACATTTCCCCTTAATTCTATGTCATTCTGCTGCCTCAGGCAACTACCAGATTTTCTTTTCATCTATTTAATGACCTCTTCCCATCATTCTTACCAGAAATTTTTATAAGAAGAGAGGGTCTGTTTTCACCTCAAAGACTCCTCATTCCTGCTTCAGCTCAGAACGTTCTAGTGAAATCGCTGTCGTTTCTGAAGAAATTCAAATTAGACCCAGCAAAGCAAACAAGAACTCCTAAGGCAGCAGTGGGCTTGCCTGTGAAGTTTAAAACCTCCAGCACTCTCCCAGCATGACCTTTTGTGCAGGATAACCTGGACCTTCCATGCAAGGAGGCTGATGGGAAGACCAGCTGTTCCTCAGATCCCAAAAATGCTCATGTGGGTTTTGCCATGTAGCTGTGAGAGCTGTGGGTCAGGGTGTGTGTGCCCCAGAGCTGGGGACACTTTGCAGGCTGTTAATTCCCTCCTGTCAATGTTTCTAGCATTTTCTGAGCCACAGTCAGAGTGGTCCCACTGCCATTTCCCCAGTCTCCTACAGGGTGAAGGCAATTAGATTGGAATAATTCCTTTTGTTGGTACCAAAACAGAACAGCTGGAGGGCATGGTCAGAGCACCTGCCAAGGTTCCTGCCTCTCTCTGAGGTTCAGATACCTGAGTCCATTTGGGCTGTGCAGCCTCATGGCCCCTCAGAGCTGTGGCACCCACACCTGGCTGGCTCTGGTCAGTGCCGTGCCCTGTGAGATGGCACATGGAGAGTGGCACTGCTGTGGCACCTTCTGCTACTGCAGCTCGTGTGAGTGGGGAAGGAGGACATCCATGGCATCTGCTGTCCTTGCAGCCTAGCAGGGGAGGAAGGTCCTGCTGGGCTGAGCTCTGCAGAGGATTTCCACACTCGGGGACAGCCCAGGTGGGCTCTGCCTTCCCCCACAGCACAGTGATGTGATGTGCCTGCTGCACTCGTGCTGCAGCCCATGAAGGTGGCCTGGGAAGCATTTGCCAATTAACAGGGCTGACAATGAATGCTCAACAAAAGAGACATCAGCACAATATACACACAGGCAGTTTGGAAATGACATCTGTGCTTCCAAATGGACACATGGATTGCTTGGGAGCTCTGAAGGCAAACACACAGGAGTGTGTGCACGTTGCTTTTTGCCTAAGGTTGCTCTGAAGGTCTTGTTCCAACACGTACCACAATTACCTTCTCAGAGCACTAATAGGAACACCAGATAAGTATCCGAATTGCAACACTTTGTGCTCATAAAATTAAAGCTTATTATGCTGATTAGTGACTAATGAGATGCATGCAATTAAAAAGTGCAAAGTTCTCCTCACCCCTCAGTATTGCTGCTGCCCTACTTTGAGCCTGCCCTAAGCTTTGACACCTGACACTACAATGTTTGTATTTTTTACTCCTGCTTTGCAGTGGTTTGAGTTTTCCAGCTCTGTTCCTCCATGTAAACCTGCTTTCTCAGTAAGCAAGTGCCAGTGATAACCCAGGTGCAGATTTTGTAATCCAAAATGTCAAAAGGAAAGAATCCTTAAAACTGGCTTTTTCTTCTGGGGTCTGGTAAGAAACCATCTCATTTTAGTCTGCTTTTTGTCTGTAATGAGTGCTAATGCCATGATTCAGTAGGGGGTTTTGTGAGTTTATCAGTGGTTTGCATTTATTTTGTCACATACCATAGCATGCAATAAACCATATTATGAAGCTGCTTTACCTTGTAGAAGATGCAAACTCATTAAATGTATAAACATTATAA